TGCTATTGTTTGGGTGAGGAAAGAGTGATAAAGCACGAAGGGTGATGCCGTACACATTCATACTTATGCATATGGTGAGGAAAGAGTGATAAAGCACGAAGGGTGATGTCGTGTACATGTACATTGATATTGATGCATATGGTGAGGAAGAGTGATAAAGCACGAAGGGCGATGCCGTGCACATTTCTAATATTTACGTGGTGAGGAAGATACATAAAGCACAAAGGGTGATGCCATGCACATTTTCATTACTTGATTGCATTGGTGAGGATTGAGAGTAAAAGCACGAAGGGTGATGCCGTGCAGTTATTGCATGTTTGTTATGATTTCTTGTTGTTTTCGGTTCAATTGCCTTAATTGTCTTATTCTACTATCACCGTCATTCTTTATGTTGGTACTTCCCCCATAGCATGTTACCCCTCCCCCGTTACTTTTGAATTACTTCTGTTACTGTTATTCTGCTAGATACTGTGTAACTGCATGTTAATTATTTGTTGTGTCCTAGCCTTGTCACTACTTCGCCGAGGTTAGGCTCGTCACTTACCAGCACATGGGGTCAGTTGTGCTGATACTACACTCTGCACTCTTTTATGCAGATTCCGGTACTGGAGCATACGGACCTTAGCTAAGGGTTGCTGTCTTCAGTCCATCGGAGACCTGAGGTAGTCCTACAGGCGTCCGCAGGCCTTGGCATCCCCTTCATATCTAGTTTCTTTCTCTTCTTTTCTATTTCAGAGACGGACATGTATTTATTTTGTCCAGACCCTGTTTGTAGAATTCTTAGATAGTCCGTGATATTGTGATACCATTTCTGGGTGGTTTATGTTTATGGATTCGTATTGGTATTAGCTTAATCGTTAAATTTCGTTCTTCCACATTATTAATTCCGCTGTTTATAATTTGGTTAACTTGAAATTGTTGAGGGATTTAAAATGAAAAGGGTAAATTAATCAGAATTGTTGGCTTGCCTAGCTTTCACTAGTAGGCACCATCACGACTCCCGAGGGTGGGAAATCCGGATCGTGACAAGTTGGTATCAGAGCTCTAGGTTGCTTAGGTCTCACAATCCACGGACAAGCTTGGTAGAGTCTGAGGGATCGGTACGGAGACGTTTGTGCTTATCCTCTAGAGGCTACAGAGTTAGGAACAGTTTCACTTCTATTCTTCTCTGTCGTGCAATTTGGTTTCTCAATGCTAATTAAACTTCTACTCTGTTCTTTTGCTGGTTGCGAGAACACGTGCTTCTTCATTCGCTAACCAGCAGCCCGAGCCACCACCAGCAGCAGCTCCCACGAGGGGTAGAGGACGAGGCCGAGGCCGTGCTAGGGGCTGAGGCAGGGGCAGAGCTTAGCCCAGAGCAGAAGCACCAGCGGCGGAGCCTCAGGTAGAGTTTGATGATGAGGTTCCGGCCCAGACAGTTCCGGTGAGCTCAGCTCAGGTCCCAGTGGGGTTCATTGCTACCCCAGTACTCCAGGATGCTCTGGTCCGTCTACTGGGCCTTATGGAGAGTGTCACCCAGGTAGGCTTACTTCCTGTAGAACCAACCGTCTCTCAGGCTGGGGGAGGAGCACAGACTCCTGCTACCCGCACTCCGGAGCAGATGGCTCCCCAGTTTCAGACTCCAGCAGCTCAGCCAGTTGGAGCAGTTCAGCCGGGTGTAGTAGCTCAGACCGGTGATGGAGCAGCTATGTCTGCCGATGATTTGTGGAGATTGGACAGGTTCACCAAGCTGTTCACTACTACTTATGGTGGTACACATTCAGAGATCCCCAGGCTTACTTAGACAGTTGTCATGAGGTTCTTCGGAACATGGGGATAGTGGAAACCAATGGGGTCGACTTTGCTGCTTTCCGTCTGTCAGGTTCCGCCAAGAAATGGTGGAGAGATTATTGTTTGGCCAGACCAGTTGGATCACCAGCTCTCACTTGGGACCAGTTCTCGCAGCTATTTCTCGAGAAGTTTCTTCCCGTCACTCAGAGAGAGGAGTACCGCAGACGGTTCGAGTGCCTCCAGCAGGGTTCTATGACTGTCACCTTGTATGAGACGAGGTTTATTGATTTGGCTCGTCATGCTCTTCTGATACTCCCCACCGAGAGAGAGAGAGAGAGGGTGAGGAGGTTTATTGAGGGACTCGCTCAGCCTATTAGACTACAGATGGCTAAGGAGATAGGTAGCGAGATTTCTTTCCAGGATGTGGCCAATGTGGCCAGGCGGGTTGAGATGGTTTTAGCTCAGGGGAGTGGTCAGGGGTCTGATAAGAGGCCTCGTCATTCTGGCAGATTCAGTGGTGCCTCGTCTGGAGGCAGGGATTCTTTTGGTAGAGGCCATCCTCCTAGGCCATTTCAGTCAGCACTTCAGGTTTCTCACTGTGCTCCAAGTGGTCGTGGTTCTCATATACAATATTCTGATCAGTTGCCCTACAGTGCACCACCAGCTCCTATCAGTACACCCCCGCTCCAGAGTTTTCAGGGTGGTTATCCAGGCCGTCAGGGTCAGTTTCAGGGTCAGCAATCTCAGCAGCTGAAGTCTTGCTATACTTGCGGCGATACGAGGCACATTGCTAGGTTTTGCCGTCGAGCCTCGAGCAGTTCTCAGCACCAGGGTTCTCGTGCTATGGTTCCAGCATCGGGTGTTCCACCGCCCGCTTAGCCAGCTAGAGGTAGGGGTAGAGGTGTTAAAGGTGGAGGTCAGGCCGCGAGAGGTGGAGACCATGCAGCTAGAGGTGGAGGCTAGCCAGCAGGAGGCCGTCCTAGGGATGCAATTCAGAGTGGTGGGCCCAGTCCCGATGTTATGCTATGCCAGGCAGATCTGAAGGCTGAGGCCTCCGATGCAGTTATCACAGGTACGGTTTCAGTGTGTAGTAGAGATGCCTCAGTTCTATTTGATCCAGGGTCCACGTATTCTTATGTATCATCTTATTTTTTCCCTTATCTGGTTGTGCCTCGTGATTCTTTGAGTGCTCTTGTATATGTGTCTACACCGGTGGGTGATTCTATTGTGGTAGATCGTGTTTATCGTGCTTGTGTGGTTGTTATTGGGGGTCTTGAGACCCATGTAGATCTCCTATTTCTCGATATGGTGAATTTCGATGTCATTCTGGGGATGGATTGGTTATCCCCTTATCATGTTATATTGGATTGTCATGTCAAGACTGTGACCTTAGTACTACCGGGGTTGCCTCGTTTGGAGTGGAAAGGGACCCCTGGTCATTCTACCAGCAGGGTTATCTCATATATGTGGTTTTTGTGACTTCTTCTTGAATGTTGTAGTTGCTGCTTTGTTTACCTTTGGAAGCGTCATTCTTGAATGTTGTTTCTCTAATTCTGCCATAAGTGGAGCCATAATTGGAGTAGATTGATTAGATGAGTTGAATGGGGAGTGAGGAAATTTGAGTGAGATTTATAGCAACAAATTAGAGCTGGTTGATTAATTGTTCTCTATGTTTCCTTATTTGGTTTCCTTAGGAATAGGAACTTCTGATTGATATTTTTCACGCTTTTCTCTATTTCCTTTTTCATTTTTTGGCTGGCTGATCTATTTTACTTTCTTAATTTGTTAGGGTTTTTATTGGCCGGCAAGTTAAACTATTTGTAGAATTAATTGCTTTTTCTAGTATCTGGTTTATATACAGCGCAATTTTAAATGTAAATGTCACAGTATATTGAAATATATAATACTACTAACTGTATAGTTGTGGCTAAAAATTAAAAATGAAAAAAAGAAGTTTAGCAATGAAAGGTTTTTCTGAATATAAGCAGTGTCCATTTGATTTAAATTTTGTAATTTTTTATTAAACTTTTCCCATTTCCAAACCCATTTTTGGAAGCTTGCCAAAATGGATATCTACAGCCTTTCGAACGCATCACTTATATTAGTAGTATAGTTTTAGATGTTGCTTAAGATCATAAACTGACACACGAAAAATTAAATGTTCTTAGTGAAATCCCAACTTTTGGTATGTATACAAAAATTAAAAACACAACAGTCAAGCATGAAACCTTTAGGTGTTCACTAAATCTAGCATTTTTCACAACAACTTATATATATATATATATATATATATATATATATATATATATATATATATATATATATATACAAAAATGATCTAACTTTGTATTTCATTAATAGTTGGCGTCAAATGACCTCATGCCATTAGCAAAAGAGCTCATCTATGCTCTTGTTCACAAGTGGAGCTTTAGTTTTTTTCATTTAATTTCTAATTACGGTGATTAGCACATGGAGCTCAACGTATCCTCCACGTGGCAAATTTAAATCTCTTTTTTTACCAGCTCCCCTTCCCCCTCCACTAGCAACTAGAACAGTAAAAGACGTGCTATTGGATCGCTACATGAGATCAGTATCATCCTTTCCCTCCAATATTTTGAGGATGATCCGGTGTAGGTTATACTTGAACAAATTAAACGTCTACAAAAGATAAGAAGGATTTACAAAAAAAAACAGCTCGGTACGCGAAACATCTCACGTTTACGCAGGGTTCGGAGAAGAGCAGCACCCTAAGGGAGTGTGATGTAGGTACCCTACCCTAACCTAATGCAAACATTATAGGCTTGCATTAGAGGCTTATCTTACAGCTCGAACCCGTGACTATAGGTCACCAGAGACAACTTTATTGTTGCTCCAAGGCTCCCCGTAAAAAAAAGCATAAGAAAGATAAAACATTACTCTCTCCGGTCCATAACAAGTGACCATTTTACCTTTGGCACACTCATTAAGAAAATACGAACTCCTAAAGAGAAAAAAGATATATTCACTAAATTAACCTTATTTAATTGTTACCTTGACATAATGAAACATGTAAATAAGGGAAAATTTTGAAAAAATAAAATTAATTTGTTCTTGATTATATAAATGAATACTTATTTTGGACCAAAATAAAAAGGTAAAATGGTCGGGAGTAGTTATAAGTCCGTAATATTGAAGGTTTAATTCGCATAGGACCCTGAGAATACTAAAGCACTGAATTCACCTGCAAAGACTGAAGTAAACACAACTTGATAATTTTCAATTCATTGGCAAAGCACTAATAGTAACTATGAAATACATCCAGAAGGATTTGTAGGCAGGCCACTCTTCCTTGGAGAGTAAGCGCGAGAAACGAGAAGCATAATTTAAGTTCTAATTTTCAAAACTATTTCTTATTCTTTTCGCCCTGATCCCGGGGAAGACATATTTCCTCCTTCGGGGTAACAGATGTAACTACTCGCTGTGTTAATGCCGATAAGATCATGTCCTTATTAGTTTTCCATAAAGGTTGCAGTCATCTTATAAAGCAACTTCAGAAAAGAGGGACTGGAATGCACTAAGGGAGAATTCAGACCGATTCAAGGCAGCATTGGCAATTGATTTGTCTTCCTCAAGTATTTCAATTTTGTCCGATTTTCCCTGTATGAACGATGCATTGGAAAATGCTAAAATTAGTACAGATGAGAAATTTAAGCAAAGCTAGAGTAGAATGAGTGCTTTAAAATGTGAACAATGAACATAGTGATATGGTAATTAAGCATCAGCAAATCAACATCTATGTACATCTTGGAAAAGGGAAGAAAGGAATAAATATATTGTTTGTTTTCATTAAAACTAAAAAAGGAGAACAGGGGAAGTATCTCCTTAAGCCTACCACATGACCCTATAGGAAAAGACTTCAGTTGCTGTAATGGGAAAAAGTATGTTTTGGCTACAATATTACAGCAGCAAGAGAGTGCTTTTCTGCTGTAATCATGTGGAATATCCGTGCCATAAACTTGCAAATGGACTCAGTTACATGAACATTAATTTTAGGGTCTGACTAAGCAACTAAAGCAAGTATGAGATGCAGGCATACTTATCACTAGAGCTGTGAGATCCAGCCCCATAAACAGAAACAAAGATAAAAGTGGGATAAAGGTATCTAATGGAAGTCCAATAGGTGGTTCAGTTCAGAAGGTATCTAAACAGAAATGTATTCGAAGTGTGTAACACAGTGGGTTTTGGGTTTTCAGTTTTGAATGGTGAGTCTCTTGAGGACTTTGGGATAAAACAGCCTGTTTCAATGATAGATTTTTCTATTCTCGAGCAGCGGTTTTCCTGTTAGTTGATAAGGGTTTTCCCCGTAAATCTCGTTTTTCATTCTTTTTTAGTATGATTAAAAACTTATCATCCTGGTGGGTAATTCTTAGGTCCTAAGATAAGTCACTATCAAAGTAATTTAACAACTTTCTTTATCACCTCATCGCGTGATCCTCTGATGTAGCCTACAATCACAACTTCCATTTTGCACTCCTGGATCTGCTCATCACTTGAATCTACTATACAAGCTTGCTGAAATGGAGTAGAAAATCAGCATGGTTATCTTTAAACTAGGAAAACATATAAGAATGAGAAATTTGAAGTAGGCATCAGACAAAAGATAAGAGAAAAGAAAAGCTAATGTACATCAAGTAGGAATTAGGGCCTATTGCAAATAGACACATTTTAGTTATAAGCACAACATGCATGAAGCAATTAAAATCGGCTAAAAAAACCAGTGAACTTTTTGTCATCGCCTAACGAATGCATTTCCAAAATTTTGCTACACTATTTGATGCTTAGTCAGTAGCATGTCAAACTATAGATTACACAGACATATTGAGTACCACCTCAGTAAACACTCATAAATGTTGTATGCATAAACGAAGTATTCTGCATTATCCTTAACTGAAGACAAATAAGCAACCAAAATAGAAAGAGTTCCACGAGCATTCAGCAGTGTCAAGTTTTGAAGCATTGGGTAGTTTACTCACCATCTTTCTCTTAGAACTGCAGCAGCCATGTCCCCAACCACTGCCAAGAACAATCTTTATGATCTTGTGCGCCTCCAGTTTTGCCCAGCCAAAATAAAGTCCAAACACTTGATCGGGTAGAGCAGACGGCCCATCATCTGGATATGATCTTTAGTCAGAATTTTTCACTTATAGCAAGAGGAAGCTCTAATAACAAGAAATACAGATATGATCATAGAAGTATGTCAACTTTTTTTATAAAAAAAAAAAGATACTGTAGGAGTATGGCAAGAATTTTTAAAGGCTGATATCATAAAATAAGAATAAATCAGGGAGGGAGGGCATGTGGCTTTTCCAAGACCTGTAAAATCATGGAGGAGGCCATTTCTGTACAGACCCCTGAAAGAAACAGGTTCAACCAGCAACGCGTTACCAACCCCTGCAATCATTAAATGATAATAGTTGCATCATGCAAGCTGGACATGCAGGACAAGAACATATAGTAGACATACTGGAAAAGAAACATACAGTCTTCAAATGGTGGGAGACCCCATAGTTCTGGCTTTAACTCTAGGAGCGAACGAAGCACAGAATCAGCTATTGAATATTGATCAAATTCAGAATGGAAAGAAGGCACAGCTACCACCTTCATTCGAGCAGCCTTCCCTGCCTTGACTCCAATACTGTCAAAAATTATTGGAGAAGGAACTACTGTCATATCAATTTTCAGTTAATAATAAATGTTCAGTGAGGTGTGCATTAACTGCATAACCGTGTTCCTAGTATGTTGAATCATGAATGAAACGGAAGAGAAAATGAAAATAAGGAGCAAGTCAATTTAGAGAAATGCATGATTATTACTGTTACCATTCTCAAAAAAAAAAATAGTGCAGGATTATTTTGATGCCTGCTCTAATCTAACAGAATATATAATCGCTGAGAAAATAGTTAAGGACAGAAATGCAAGTAACCTGAAGCTCTTCACATGCATTAGTGTGTTCCACAACACAATTTATCTTTTTATGAACAACTAAGTAAAAGCGGTCAGCACTGACTAGAGATAGCATACCACACGTTCACATCTCGTGTGAATCATTTTTAAGTTGCTTCATATTAGCAAAAAGGGTATCCTAGAACAGAACACCAGTTTCTGATGCAACAACTAGCATCCATCAAAAATTCAAAATTAGTAGCTTTACATTGTACAGGAATTGCAACTTGCATGTGTATTGTCTACATATATGTATCATCGACTTATTTCAGTCTCGTCCAAAACTGATCAAAACCAAGTAAATTTTTATGGTTACAGCCTCTATGTGCTAAAGTAAAAGATAAGACTCCTACTCACCATAGTTTGCAACTAATGTTCTCTATTGGAGTTAAAATAAATAAACACGGTCCATGCACCAGGTAGGGGAAACTTCTAAACTAGTACCGGGTTTCAAGAGCCGAATTTTTGCAAACTTAATCTCAAATTCAGTTCTCAGTCCCACGCAAAAATTGTTAGATGAAATGACTTACTCGTGATATGAACATATGTTAGACTCAAGATCAGCTTCAGAAATATGTGTTCAGCTAGTCAAGTTAGCTATTAGTAGGGACAAAAGAAGAGGAACGGAAACTTATTGAGGTACATGCTAATCTGCTATATATTTAAGCAGTAAGCTAATGCTAGTTATGCTGATTGCTACTGTATGTGACGATGTAAGTTTGATGCTTGAGAATAGAAATACAAGCACTAACATGAAAGGTGGGTGATCTCTATCACTCACTAGCACACAACATAGGTATGTAAAAATTGTCCAACTAAAACAATGCTAAGTAGAAATGAGAAATCATGAAGGCTACTTACACAGAATCCTCTATCACTAGGCAGCGAGCTGCATCTGCACCCATCTGCTTTGCAGCTTCCATAAATCTAAAATCAATTCAAAAATTCACAGGAAATCAAAAGGCAAAAATTTATTCAACAGGCAAATTGTTATTGGATCTACAAGACTTATTTTAAAACGGAATGCAGCATGTCGGTCCTGTTACCAAAATACACCAAACAGAATTTCTTTTTGAGTAAGTATATTATTTTATTACAAAAATTCATTCACAGGATGCAAGTCGTTTATCTTAGAATGTGTATTGGCCCAAAGTAAACATATCCTCTTCCAAGTGATGGAAAGAACTAATGAAATAGTTACATTTGCTTACATATTTTGTCTTTTTGGTCAAAACATGAATATCTAGATAGCAGAGACCAAACAATAAATCTCCTTAACTTTATGAGCTGCTAAAAGAATAGTACAATGAGCAGTTTGTACATGCTTTTTGTGACCAAGCACCTTCTTGGTGCTGTAGTCATCAATCAAATATCCTTAGCAAACTTCACGGAAAATGCGATAACACAAAATTCAAGAGGAAAGAGAATATAGAAGTATGTCATATCTTATGCAGAGCAGTAATAGAACAGTTCAAAGCATCACACACTGTAGAAAGCCTAACTTACATGTCTGGAGAAGGCTTCCCTGATTTAACCTGATCACTTCCAAGAATTACGGAAAAGGATTCTTTCCATCCTAGGGAAATGAAAAAAGGATTATGGTAGATTAATATACACACCTTCACAAGGAAATAACTGAAAGAAAGTTGATGTGATGACAACGATTGGAAGGTCATAAAAGGTGACCTCATTTTGGAAGAGAAGGAAACAATTTATACAAGAATAATAATAATAATAAGATGATTCGACAAAAAATACTTTACAGGTCTTCCAGGACTTTAAAGGGATTCATATCCTTTTACAACAAAACTTGATTTCAGGCGGATCATTGAGAAATTCAGTTGAGTTATCAGGGCATACAAACAACTTGGGCAAATATGATAGCAGTAAGCAATCCATTATGTACACCAATAATCCAACTTTCTATATTAAATACTCGTCTAATGCTTCCTCACATCAACTCAAACAAAATCAAAAGGTAGAACTGCAAGCAGAGAACAAAAGGGATGAAAAAGTTATAAAGAATTCACATATGTGACAACAGAGAGCAGCATCCGATGAAATGCCAAACAATGTAACAGCTGTCAGAAAGAAATTTCTCAGTCCTAAGGAACTGTCTTAAGGACTATTTACTTCAAAATAACAACACCAACTGATGAAACAAGAAAATAAAAAATAATGCACGAAGGAGCATAATGAATATAAAGCACGTTTTACATTAATTTCTTATGAGTTACAGCACAACCTTCTTGGAGAGCGACTTTCCCATCTATGTTTTTTCTTTTGGAATTGGAAGCAAGGGCAAAGGGAACTCCGTGCTTATGGAGATGTCTTATAAGGCGATTAGCACCAGGAAGTGCTTTGGCTTCCAACCACCTACAACGAATCAGGAAAAAAAATTACACGTGAATACACTGTTGACATTTGTGAAATCATTGAATATCTTAAACATGACAGTGCAGGGAAACTGATATAAGTTAACTTGTCGCACTCTGATGGTGTGCATAACGATTGACAAATGGGCAGTCAACTAGTGCAGAGTGTTTTACTAGATTCTGTTAGTTATACAGAAGATAGCACTAATATTGCGAGACTAGTCAAAAGTATTAACTACCATGGCAACAAGTATTTCAACTTCATCATATCATCAACTAGAATTTTAGACATTATCACAGAACATAACAGCTTGAAGACAATAAGAATATAACTTCTTAACACAGCGTAAGAAAGAGAGAAGATGCTTATGGCTCTTGAAGTAACAGGAAATGACTTGTATCAAAATAATTGCAATAGGACAAAGTAAAGACTAAAAATCCCTTTATTTAGCCAATATGAAGTACAATGAAATGCCAAAATATGATGAATGTTTGTAAGAGGATGACATCAACCAACAAAGGCAGATCCAAGATTTGAACTTTATGGGTTCGAGTTCGGAATTCCACAACAACCTATTTGATTTACTGGATTCAATATCTATTTTTAACACTAATTTAGTGGATTTTTTTAACACATATACAGAGTTTGAACCAAAGTTATTGGTTTGGACAAACCCATAACTAGTGTACTAGGTCCGCTCATGTCAACCAACTATGCTTTACAGTTTACAAGTGAGTGTCCATATGTATGTATGTATGTATGTATGTGTGTGTATCGAAAATAAAAAGAATCAGCTAAAATAGTGAAAAGAAAGAACTTACTTGTCATGATAAAAGGGCATGATTGCTTCGATATACTGATCGGGCGTGAGCGGGAGGTCATAATCATTAACAATGCCAATAGCGTACTCTTTCTGGGCCATGCCCAATCTTTTCTTCTCCTTCTCCTTATCTGGCACCTTCCCATATCCAGCCAAAAATTCCTTCAAAATTTCCTTTGTCAAGTGCTCTAAAACACACACACACAGACATCTAGGATTTAGTATCACTGGGTACAGAGTGAGTACAGTTTATTAAGTACTTATTTATATATATAATAGTCCGAGTCAAAAGAAGGATTAGATTAGATCCCAACAAACAATAATACTAATGCTGCAATTACTGCAAACCAAAAAAAAAAAAAAATAACAAGGAAAGGGAGTGGGAAAAGAGGACCTGTGCTTATAAGGGTGCCGTCCAGATCAAAAATGACGGCTGAAATATGGGCCTCTACATTGTTGTTTGCAGAATGAAGATCGCCCATTCTTGTGTTAGAAAATGTTAGGCTTAGTGTGAGTTGTAGAATTAATGAGCTGAGAAAGATGAGGAGATGAGGGATTTAAAGAAACATTTAACGAAAGGATCGATACCCATTTGCGTTTGGGTAAGATGCTACTAGCGTAAAGAAATGTGTGTTAAAATAAAGTGTGGGCGGAGAGCCTTCCCGCCTTCCATTCGAGGGAGAAAGTAGTCCCCTATTCCAATTTCCAATAATGGAATGTCCAGTAAACCACCAAATAGATTTATTCCGGTATATCCTAAAATCCTCCTTGTCGCCTTCCTCCTTTTTTGAGTGGTGTTCCAATCAACTTAAACTTAAATCACCTGTAAATTAATTAATATATTTAACAGAAAATTTTGTCCACTAAAACTTAAATAAATAGTAGAAAATATTTACTTAGTCTCTTCTCTCACGAAAATTAGACATCTCCTACTATAACACAACCGTCATGTTTATTAAGAAAATACAACCACCCCTCATTTAAATTATACTATATGATATTATTGACTGGACACTGTGTTTGAGATATTCATTCGGCTTTATACATTACTCCATATTAATGGTGGTGGATTAAAATACCAAGCTTGGTTTAAGAAGTTAATTTGGTTATACTTGGATTAAGATCTCAATAGTTATATGAATTTTGAATTTTCTTTTTTCAAGTTATGAAAGATATAACATATAATGAGGATGAAAAGAATAATGATCTAAAGAAGTAACAAACGAAATATACGACTAATGTGAAATTTCTCCAACAAGATAGGAGAACAAATTGTTGCTTATCAAGTCCGGAGGGACAACTTTGAGTTGCAGTGACTTGGATCAATAAAATCAGCCATTAGCCAAATTGCCCTGTTATAAAACGGCGAGACCCGGATGCATACAAGATGATTACGCTTGTTATCACGTTATAATACTCCTAGACCGATAGTAACTATTTTTTGGTAAAACCTGTGAAGAATTACCATAAACAAACAAACATAAGTATTTACAATCTAAGAGCATTCAACGCCTTAGCCAACTTCTAGGAAGGGTGCTTTAGCCATTGAACCTCTGCAGATTCTTCAGATCCTCTTTTCTGGCTTTCTTCATTGAAATATTCAAAAATAGGTAGAATTTTATCTCACATGTGCCTGCTTCTTGAACGGAAAATTCGTAGTTGTTTATTTGAACTACAAGATGCCTAAACCAAAAGGGAGTTGGAGCTTAAAGATGTCCCTAGAAGCGACAGAAGTAAAAAATATAAACTAGAAAATAGAGCAATAAAGGATAATATGGGAGTGATTTTATTTTGTGTCTCACACAACTTACACTAGTTGTGTGAGGCTTCTTTTTATCTCACATGTTTGTGGACCCATATCTTACACATCTGGGTCTACAAAATTCTGGGACCCACACAGTTATGAGACAAAAAAAAAGGCCTCACACCACTAGTGTCAGTTGTGTGAGGCACAAAATAAAATTTTTCATAATATGGATTCGGATTGTTCACTATTGTAACTGCAGAAGACAAGCTAGTCTACGCATAGACTTTGAAGACAGACTAAAGTAATGTTGAGAGAACACAGTAGTAGTAACCAACTTTCTACGAAATTGCAATGCTATATACTGGTGAGCTAGAACAATATTCGCCAGTTGAGCTTTATTTGGAAAAAAAGTTGCAACGTCAAATTAAAGTTTTTTTTTTCCTGGTGTTAAATCAGCAACTTGTTAAGACAAGTAATGTGTTTAACGGCACACAAACATTCTTGTTTTCAGCAGCATCAATTGTACCACGATACTTGGTCAAATATAAACAACTCAGATGGCAATTCACAGAGACAAATGACAGGACTCAACATGGATACGTAACTGTTCCTCATTGAAAACAAGCCGAGTTCAGACAAAAATAGTAGTTCCTCAAACGCTAATCCATCTAGAATCTATTACTTTTGGCCAGATAAAAGGAGGTTACAGAGTCAATGTAACCAATCAACCTCCATAGAGATGTAGAGAACAAGGAAAGGTGCAATGATCTTTCCAGGAAAGAACTTAACAGCACAACGCCATAGAAAAATCATTAGTTATCAAGAGCGGACAAGTCATTCATTATGAATCACTCTAACCCACCAATTTTGCCTACGTATTTTGGCCAACAGCCTTGCTCCATAAGCAAGAATATCGAGCAAGCCTTTTAAAGGCAACTAATTCTAGATATTCTAATTCTTCCCATCGAAAGGCATAAGATCTATCTTAAGATAAGACTCATGCTCCCAGCGAATAAATTCTGCAACACTCAAAGATTGCCAATAATCTATGCACCACTAAAGTAACAAATATGCTTAGCTTCAAACTAAATGATGAAAAAAAGGTGAGAATTATATAAAATTGGTGACATTGAGATAATAAGGTTGAGAGGTCAAACAAAGAGCTGATGTCCTCCAATTTGGCTGCGGCAGTCCTCTGAAAAATAAAACCACCTATGGACCAAACCAATCATCTAAAGACTGAAACAACTCACTTTACGGAGAGGAAATAGCACAGGGATACAAATCACACACATGCTGAATTGCAACACCCAATTAACATGTAAAGAAACCGACACGACATGCCCATAAGATAAGTATCTACTAGGACTTAACAAACACACATCCCCTTGGTGTATCGCCGTCCTCAGAGCTCCAAATACACAAGGTAGTTCTAACCATTAGGCCCATTCACTGCATGAACACAACAAATATTATGGTTACGAATGACCAAGTAATTGAATTAAAATGAACTCAAACGAAGGACCAGGTTTAAAGAACCTACCTCTGCATCTTCACCTCCACCTGCTTTGTTTGTGGCATCTCCCTTTTGGGCATCTTCTGTGAAATGGAAACAAAATTTTAACAAGATAATATACTAGACCAGAAAGTTAATTTCCCCTCTGATTCAGTAAATTAGGTAGCCCAACTGCCAATAGAGTCATTAATATCACATCTTTTAGCCTCGTCAAACTATCCCTTGCACAAATTATCATATATTTCTAAAGGAAACAATTACTCACTAGAGAAAAGCATCTTGGTTGAACCGCAAATGTAAACTAACTGACTAACTTAATCAAGTAAACAGTTAAAAGTGTCAGATCTCAGCGCCTTAAACACACGCAGATATCAAGATTTAAACTGACCGCTAGAAACAAAAAATGAACAAAAGAAAAAGCTCTTGGTTTAATCCTATGTCAGGAAAAGCTCTCATGACATAAGGAAACACCCTCCAACACTACTTTGTCTGAGTTTTTTCCCCTTCAAGAAAGAAGCAATACCACACAGTCTTCTTTATCACCCTAGATTAATTTTCTGAAAATAGTGAGTTAGAGTATGCTGCACTCCAAAGCTCTCTTTTTTGAGAAAGAATGCACTCCAAAGCACTCTTAGTGCCACCTCTCCTTTTTTTTGATAAACCAAGAAATTCCAATGGATTGTGGCACACGATTCGAAACTCGGTAGATAATTAGCCTGCCTCACTACCCTTCTCCACTTAAAACCAGGCTTTTGTCTGGCAGTGTTCGAACCATGACGTGTTTAACCTTACATATCACGAGCTACGGTGGTGTTCTTACCATTTTATTAAAGCCCTAGGGGCAGTTCTCTTAATGCCATCTAAAAGGTTGCAGAACCAAATTAGTTCTTTCTGTAGCAACTACTAGCAGAAACGACTGGCAAAAAGTTTTGACTAAGCCTTAGTATAGTCAAGCTCTTTATCTATATTATATTTAAAGCATGAAGCCCCTTAGCTAAATGTCGTTCGCCTTTTTTCCCGTTTAAAAATAGAGTTTACATTAGACAAAGTTGTAATTTAAAGTTATTTTCCTAATATTTAGGACTTTAAAATAACTAAAAATTTGGTCATTAAATCTTTCCTTATTGAACTAGATAAGAAGTCATAAATATAAACATTAAAATTTAACCTTAATAATGGAAGAAAAATGGTCTGAATACGTATGGAAAGACTGAAAATTTTAGAGTTAAAAAACGGAAAGATTATAAACTCAAGAAAACCACTTGGACTCTTAACGTTTTAAAAACTAACAATACTACGTACACTATTTCAAAAAATAAGACAGAAAATGCACTTCTTCTTCTATTTTTACATGCATAAAAATCTAAAGAAATTTTTTGAAAATGTATATCCTCTTTTATTTACGTTTACAAATACTTTTTACCTTTTTTTTTTTTGCATTAGAAATTGAAGGAAATTTTTACTTTGAACAAAATATAATTCCTTCTTAAAAGTTGTAATTGCATTGTATGTTGATTGTAATAAAATTAGTATTAGAGAAATTATTTTATTTTATTGTTGTTTGATCTTTAGGATCTTTTTCTTTCTTTAATTAGTTCAATAGAATCAACATGTAACCTTTTCAAAACGATTTATTTAGTTTTTATCTCATAACTCAAACGTGTTGTTCAATGTAACATTTACATGAGTTTTCAAAATTAAATACCCATTGATGGAGTACACAGCATGTACCAAGATTATTTGAATAAATAAGTAAAAAGTTGTCAAGAATTACATCGTGGGTCAAAGCTAATGTCATGTGCTAATGGCAAGTATATATATATATAAAAAAATACGAAATCCCTTATCGAAACGTTGTTCGCCTTTTTTACCCTTTAAAATTATATTTCGCACTAGACAAAAATAATCATTTAATGATTTTCTTAAATTTTAGAGCTTTGAAATAAACTAAGTTTTGTTTACTAATACTATCGTAAATATCTCAACTTTACACAAGTTACCTTACATACGTAAAACCGATTGACACGAAGGAATAATCGCTAAACGAAGGAACCATATATAAATATTGTAGCTATATATGTAATATAGGAGTACTAAAATAAAAAACTCATCTACATATTATAAATAGGGAAATATTGTATATAGAGGAAAATAACGAACTTCGGTAGAGCAGAGTATCTTGCTTTATTGAATAATTAGGTAAATAAGATCAATCATCATTACTTTCAAAAATTTATAATTTTTTCTTTAACATTTCTTTTATAATAACTCAAATATAATTTTTAATATAAAAATTTATATAATTCTTTAAAAAATTATAGTCATTAGACGAGGTACACACTCGCGTGTGTGTATATATATTTTATTCAAGCTAAACAGGGATAGTTATAATAAATAAATAAATAAATAAAGTGCCATCTGCCAGGTAAAATTTATGAACAAACAAAATTCTAGATTATACAAACACCAAGGCAACCTATAGGATATTAGGATATGAGTCAAAACATACCTGCATCCTCTGGAAGATCAGAAGTCCACAAGGTGAGATTGTCCCTTAGAAGCTGCATAATCAAGGTGCTGTCTTTGTAGGAATCCTCATTCAGGCTATCCAACTCAGATATTGCTTCATCAAAGGCCTGCTTTGCCAGATGGCATGCCCTGGAGAAAACAGATTATAATAGACTGAGCGCAGGAACAGTTATGGACGCACCAATTTTAAAAAGGTATGGATAAGTTCAAGAAGATGAAAATCCAAAAAACAAACCTTTCAGGCGAATTCATGATCTCATAATAGAAAACAGAGAAATTCAAAGCCAATCCCAACCGAATGGGATGAGTGGGAGGTAATTCCGCCTCTGCAGCAGTTGTAGCTGACTGCACAAGGTTCAGCAAAAACCAGTAAGTGGAAGCAAATAGACATAGATATACGTGGCCAAACTAATAGGGAGTTCAACATATAAATGAGACAAGGGGAATCAGAGAAAAGAAATGAGGAAAGAAGCTCTAAATGTAAATGCATGTAAATAAAATATAAAATACACTCCTGTAGGGTCAACATATTTGATATACAAAGGGTCTTCACTTTCAACCCCCCCCCCCCAAAAAAAA